AAAAAAGAGAAAACTAAGATTTGATTTTATTTTACCGATGGTTTGTCAATTACTGCTCAGATTTTCTCTTTTTTAATCGTGCCATTTTTGGACGTGAAAATATATATTTAAAGTCTTAAAAATATTATCCTACCAATATTATTTTCTTATTTTCTTGCTAACAAATCGTTTTAAGAATTTAAGAACATATATTTAGGTATAAAAATGATTTAAACATTATTTGTAGCAACTAGTGTTCCACGATTTTGTGTATTCATTGTCTTAGATTTACCACTTTTACAAATTCTCAGTTTCCCTTCGAGCGTGTTTCATAAAATACATAAACTTTAAAATAAATAAAGGGAACTTTAAGGATTTTGTTGAATGGAACAACTTTCGAGAATAATGTTAAATTGGTATTAGATCTACAATTTGTTGATAGTTGTTTATACTTCGTAATTTTCACGAACAATAACAATACGGCTCAAAATAACAATACCAACAACTTATATAACGTGCAAAATCCACACAAGTTATAACAACGTGATTGAAGATAAAGAGAACATAGAACTGGGTCTTTGAATTTATGATATCCAAGAGTTTTTGGAACAATAGCTGTCTTTTTGACATAAATATAATGAGAGTTTTATGGTAACTAGAAGTATTGTGGCATTTGATTCGTAGAACACGAAAGTGCAGGTTTATGAGTTTATTTTGTTATTTCAAAATTTGAAACAAAAATTGCACTTTTAAGTAACTTCGCGTCTATTTTGCCTCTGCTAAATATCACAATGGCAATGAAAATCACAGTTTATAAGAATACTCACTTGGGGTTAATGAATGATTTATTCCTTGCCTTAATTTAGACTTTACTTATCTCACTCAAGTGTTCTTATTGAACACTGGAGACTACACTTAATTGGCGTGATTCAGGTAAGATTTTAAGCTTTAAGTTTGCACCGAGGGGGATCAAACTCACGGCAGGTAAATTAAAAATTACATTTTTAACTACAATTTTTGAATTAATATAACCCTTCCGTTTTTATAAACGAATGAAAGGACCTCATAGTAGCAAGTTTCGTAAAATTTGATGAGTAAGTATCCAAAAAAGCATTAAAAAAAATGCATTTCACTGTGTTAATTGGTCGGTCACGTAGTTGATGTTTTATGTTTTTTTGTGTTTTGTTTTGAATTTTATACGAACATACCCTAAGAGACGAAGTATTTAATTTTATATTTAAAAAATTGGGGTGAAATAAAGTTTTTTTGATTTTAAAATGAATTTTTAAGTTTTGCACTGAGGAGTAGCTCTAAATTGCAGTTTTTCATTGGTTGCAGAAATTTTTTTGTTTCGTTGTCATTTTTTCAATTTTGGAACTATTTATTTTGAAATTGTGGTTGTTTACAATTATTTAAAAAAAAATCCTTTATAATAAATGTTTTTGTACCTGAAAAAAGAAGAGGCACATGAGGGAGTCGTTATTAGGGGGCAAAATACTGTTAGTAAGATAGGTAACAACTCCGTCTGAATATATACGGTAGAAAATACACAAAATTGCTTAAGAAAAATAGGTTTAGCTTGCTATTTTTGATAGGTTGTAGGTTATAAAAAAATTAAAGAAACTGAGTGAGTTATATCTGAAATAATGGACAAAATATTGTTATGAAATAAACGCATGCGCTGCCCCGGTACGACGCCTATGGGTTTTTTAGAATGTACGAAGATGATGGGTGAGTCATCATCAGTCAGAACGGCCGAGCGGCGATCGCATAAAGGCAAGTCTGGAGCTGGTTACTGGAAGTCTCGATTGCGACGTCCAGGAAAGTCTCGAAGGCGCGTTCGAAAAGCCTGGAAGCGGAAGTCGCGATGGATATTCGAGAAATACCTCGATCGCGGAAGTATGGGCTTAACTATAAACCACCTTCGGGAACGATTTAATAATCGTTGAATAATTTCAGCCAGTTGAGTTAACAGAAGTTGCGCCGGAATTATTTTATACATAATCCCTGTAATAGTTAGTCGTGTAAATTCGAGTTAGTAAGAAATAAATTGTTGAGTTTTACACCCACGCCGATTCACCGATCATCGTAACAATGTTTTTATGAGACAAAATTTGGAAGTGACCCTAAAAAATTGGTCTAAGGTGTCTTCTGTGTACATGTTTAATTTCGTTTGTTTATGTTTATACATCGAAAGAATCTGACGATTAAGCACGTACCAATTTGTTTCATTTGAATCAGTTATTTGTCTTTTCAAAATAGAGGAGGCGACTAAACTTATTAATTAAGTTACAATGGAACAGAATGTTGTGAATATTAGTATTATATTTCTTATTCCGTAACATTACTGTATTCTCTCATTTTCGAGAAAAATGGCTAACTCGTTCTTCATTTGATCACTTTAAAATTTAGACTTCCAACCACAAACTTCTCATCTATCAAGCAGGCACGCTACCATTGATCCGCTTGTAGAAGTTCGCATTATGTGTGTAAAGAATAAGACGGATTAAACAATAAAAAATATAATAATAACAAAGAAAATCAGAGTAGATTCATAAACAGCAAGTACAGGAATATATTATTTCATAATATTTAAATAATGTTCATTGCTCAATATAAAGAGAGAATGTTATCAAATTGTCGGTGGAGATGATTAGCCAAATTTTGTTAAGCGTTTTACAGACACGATATCCTTCATACACATATAAAATTTGACAACAATCGGTCCAGTAGTTTCTCAGATTATCTGTCTAATAAAAATGGACACAAATGACAGGCGACAGATAGACGGAAATCGGAGGCCACTTTTTTCGTACTCTAGGGGTCATAAAGCGTCGAGAAAACATGAAAGTAACAAGTCGTCCGTTGGACTCGATTACAATACAAAAACTGGTCTAAAGTTATTTAAAACGAATTTCCCTTGTATCTGAGGCCAAACATTCAAACTAACTCAAAGTCTAAAAAAAAATTGGTCCAAAGTTATTTACACATTTGCGTAACACAAATATCTGCTTTGTGACACTTGTGGCTAAATATTGGACACAGATTTTTGTAAAGTAATTGTGATAAAAATCAAAGCGAATTCATAAACCACAAGTACAGGAGTATGTTATTTTATAAAGCGAAAATAGGAGTTACTATGAAAAAATTTGTTTTACCTCATTTACTTGTTGGTGATGATTTTTGTTGGTGTTTTATCTACACGATATTCTTAAATCACGTATAAAATTTTAGTAGTTTCGGAAATGATTTGTCTAATAAAAATTGGGAAGACACTTTCATGTACTTTCACACCCATTCGCCGAATCGACTCTATTACGATACTTCCTTAGCTTGGGCTCGGAATGTAAAAGATAAATATGTTAGGAAAATACTAGGGATGGCTCAATTCAAGATTCATTATTTGTTAAAGATTTATTTGTATAAATAAATCTGAGATGACATGCACTTTTTGGTGGAGATAAATTAATTTTAGTCAGTACTGATTAATCTCTAAATCAATGTTAAAATTTGATGATCTTTTTAATATCTGTTCTTCGAGTTACCCAAGAATTTGTTGACAAAACAAATTGGCCGAAAATTAGGTCGTAATTTGAATTTGGAAAAATGAGACCAAAGCACAACTCAGGTTATGTTAAAAGGCCAGATTATACACAACCTACTACAACACAAGTTGTATATTCTTATTAGAGACGATTTACAATATCTAGTGACGTATTGGGCAGCGGAAACTAGACCAGAAATTAAAAAATCACCCTGTGTAATCATTGAGCCAAGTTGTAAAAACCGACGGTCTAATCTTTTTAGGGATATCAGAATCTAAAGTTATTTGTGAAAATTTCGAAGGGTACATTTCACCACTGTTTTCAACTTACAAAACTTTAGAAACTACAAAAGAAATATTATTGACGTTTTTTGTCTGAAATGAGATACAGTAAAAGTAGATTTTAAGCAGGTAATTTTTCGTTTGTAATTTTTGTATTTTTGTAAGGTAAAAGCTCTGACTTTTAAATATGTATACGTGATGAAACATTTCACCAAAATTTTAAAAAGAATTATGTTGGTAAACCATTAAAAAACTGCCATTGTGTTACATAGAGAAAATTTTGGACAAGCCAAGTTTAAAATTTCATAACAATAAGTCTGTTAATAACGAAGATATTAGATTTAGACATTTTTGCGATTTCATACTTAATGAGCAAATAAATTTTAATTTTTATTTACAAAATTTATTTTTTATGATTTTATATATAATAAAAGGCATATGGTAATATGTAAATTTTAACAAGATTTACTTAACAAAATTTTTAAATGACGTCATCAAGTTTCTGGAAGGGATGAACAAATGAATTCTGATTAACAATTTATAAAATCCACGTTTGACGATCTACATAATATTTTCGAAATATGCCTAAATTTCATAACAATCACAACAGTCAGTTCAGTATTTTTGAAGATTGTCTGTTTAATAAAATCGCCAACACACGAATGACGACAGATACCCGAAACGGAAGACCTAGTTTTCCTTTTTCATATTCTAGCAGATATGAAACGTAAAAAAACATTAAATTAGTCCTAGATTATCCGACGTATCAGGCACATGTTTTACTTAATAAATCTAAACTATTCGAAAATTACTTCATGGGGTAAAAGTGACTTTTTTAACATTCGAAATTTTAAATTGCACAAATAGCCCAAAATTCTGGAACAGCTGTGATATTTAGATATAGGTTTAGTTTTTAGCCTATTAAAATTTATTAAGTTTTTATTAATTTTTTAAAATGGATGGTGTATGTTGCTTAGAAGAAGCGTCAAAATTTGAATTTCCTGTCGATATTTTTATTTATATGTGTCTTAGAACAGAATCAGAATCCTATTGGCACAAGAGTAAGATTTTCATATCTTAATTTATGATTTTTGAATCTTTTTGAATTACAATATCCTTGTTTCGCCAAAATTTTGGATAAATTTCTCACTCAAAAAGATAGGATGCATATTTCAAATAAGTTAAACACCAAATGTACATCACTAATTCTTTATTTTAGATATATACAATGTCAAGTATTTTCAGTAGTTGTATCCTGCTGTACGCTGGGCGGCTTGCGGTGCCAGGTACTGCCTGCTAGGATCGGAAGTCGTAAACGAGTCCGTGGCAGAATAACCGGAACGGCTCGAAGCGGCGTTAATCTCGAGAGATTTCTGAATGGCGGCAGGTACAGGGGGCGGCGTGGGCAGATGATCGCCGCTGGCCCTAAAACCATTTTCGTCCGCAACGTAGTTAACAGTGTAAGTAACCCCATCGGGACCCGTGTAAGAGTAAGTGCCTTGTACGACATTCGTTTCCTGATTCGTCCCAAAGTTCTTTAGCTGGCCGGATTCTTGTTGACTTATGCGGTTTTCGGTCTCGTATCTGAGGACAACATGCGAGTAATTAGAAATATATTTCAAAGGATAGTCCGTCGAGGGGGTTTTACTGGCTGTTTACTGTGATAAATTGTACATTTGATGGCCCAGAGCAGATACAACTTAGTAGACATGTCTAATGCGGCTGTCACCGTATATAAATTTATTTTGTCATAGGTTTTTTCGGGGATGCTTTTTGCTGTTGTCTCGTTTCGTAAAAAGTGGAAGTAATGGTGCTTTAGCATGATTGAGTGTCTGCTACATGAAACTTAGAGCATAGTTGTTAACAGTTGAAAATCGTTAGACGAAATAATGGGGAAAATTTAGAGGAGTCTGGATTTGCGGCTAGAAAAACGATCATCAGACTGGTGAAAGGGATTGCTTTAAGCTTTTGTATAAGTTTTCACACAACTCAACGGACGAATTTTTTTTTTTTTGGCGTACATCATAAACACATTTTCAGACAACTAATCTATCTACAGTAAAAACACGTCGTTTGAAGCCTTTAATTTTATCTCTATAGTAATTTAGAAGGATTTTGTGACAGAAATGAAAATATGTGGTGACAAATTATGTCGAGTCTTGAAATAAGTTAAGTAAAATATTGTCAATATTTTTGAAAAATAATACCCAGGAGGAAGTACACTTAGCAAAATCAACACGCAGGTTAATTGATTGTCGGTTTACTAAATTGCTTGCACATCTGAGACGCAAGTTATGTCAACACTGTGTAGAATAATTGAAAACCGACAGCGAATTGACGTCGCTTGCGTCTATCCACATGCAAAATAAACCCAAACATTTAAACACTTTTATAAAAACATTATTCAAAAAAATTTTTCATTTTTGCGGTAGGAGGAACCTGTTATCCGCTACCATAAAAACACTAAAACATCGAGTTCTATAACATTTTATTACTTTATGGAGAGGATAAAATTTTACTGCAATTTATTTCAAAGGCAAGGGCAGTAAGCAATTCCTCTACCTCCCAAACGATAGCTAAGGGTCATTTTGAGGGATATCTAATCTCAGAGGTTTCATAGGTTATACTAAAATTTTAAACAGATGTGAAGAGTATCGCGAAGATAAAAAATTGGTCTAAAGAGTTTAGACAGTACTTCCCTCGCTGTCGGAAACTTGACGACTGCATGCCTATTGTGTTTTTTTTCTCATTACATTTTTGTAGTGGGAATTTAAAAAAAAATTGCGATGACGTCATCAACATTTTTGCAAGGACACGTATATCAGTTGGGATAGATGTAGTGTAATACTAAGAATAAAATTATTATATTCTCAAATTTTCGGGAAAATGAATTGGGTCGTTTGAATATTGATTTGTAATAATCAATAAAATAACGAAACAATTTACTCACGTATACCTACGTATCAGAGGCAACTGAAAATCGTGTATGTATAAACATTGTTAATTTAAGATGACAGGCGTAACAGCATACGTGAGAGCCAAACACAGAAACTGTAAACAAAACGACCGTCGGTTTTATTGCTTCGACTTCCGCTTATTATATAAAACATTGGGTTTTATTTTAATTCTTGACGGTGAAATTCACAATTGGTTGATTATAAACATGTCTATTTCACATTCGCGGAATCAAGTGAACGCATAAAACAAATGCAGGTCTGTAATGTTAAAGTCGATGTAAATAAGCGTGCTACCCTTATGTTTCAACCGAGTTTTTCCTTTAACAAATTTTGTGTCTACCAAATTGGGTTGGTTGGGGTGTAATACTAATAATAAGTGTTGCCTTTAATTTAATCAATAAAATAAATTGACTTCATTAATTCTTTTGAACCACCTCTTAAGAAAATCTAAAAAATATGAATGGAATGATAAATCACAAGTACAAACTCATCATATTTTTTGCATTTTAGATAGGATTTATTCAATTTTTTTAGGAGGGATGAACAAATACATTTTGAACAAAAGTTTACCATGCTTATAATAACTTTAAAATATTCCCAAGATTTCAAAGCATTCGGTTTTGTAATTCCTGATTAAATCGATAAAATAAATTCACGCCTTCATTAATTTTTTTGAGTCACCCTGCATATGCAAATCCAAAAATATGAATGGAATGATAAATCACAAGTACAGACTCATCATATTTTGTACATTTTAGATACGATTTATTCGGAAAACTTTTGAGCTGACGTCATCAGTTTTTTGTAGAAGATAACCAAATATATTTTGACTAAAAATTTATTATGCTCTTTATAACCTTACAACATCTGCAAGATTTCAAAGCATTCGGTTTTGTAGTTCCTGATTAAATCAATAAAATATATTTACGCATTCATTAATTTTTTTGAGTCACCCTGTATATGCAAATCCAAAAAATATGAATGGAGTGATAGATCACAAGTACAGACTCATCATATTTTGTACATTTTAGATATGATTTATTCCACAAACTTTTGAGCTGACGTCATCAAGTTTTTGGAGGGGATAAGCAAATATTTTTTGACTAAAGATTTATGATGCTCTTTATAGCCTTAAAACATCTGCAACATTTCAAAGCATTCTGGTTAGCAGATTAAAAATTAAATTTCAAAATGTTGTTTTATAATTTTGATTTTTTTTCCAAAAATCTGGACGTTTCGGGTGAAAAGTCGATTCAGAGTTGTAAACTACATGTGTAGGACTATGTTATTTTATACAATTGAAAACCCATTTACTATGTACAATTTTGAAGTGACGTCATCGCTTTAGTGGTGGGGATGATTCGACAAATTTGGGTTAGCGTTTTACCATCTACATGATATTCTTAATATAAGTACAAAATTTCACAACAATCAGTCGAGTACTTTCGGAGATTATCTGTCTAATAAAAATCCGGGACAACAGACGGACAGACGGACAGACGGACAGACGGACGGACAGACGGACAGACGGACAGACGGACGGACAGACGGACAGACGGACGGACAGACAGACAGACAGACGGAAATGGGAGACCTATTTCTTCGTCTTCTAGGGGTCATGAAAGATCGAGAAAACGTAAAAGTAGAGAGTCGGCCGACGGACTCGATTACAATACTTCCTTTGCTTACGCTCGGGAAGTAAAAATTGGTCGAAGATTATTTGACAGAACTTCCTTCGCCCCTAAACTGCAACCCAACAAATTGCGTTTCATAATTTTTTTGCGATTTTTGTTTTTATAACCTCCATCAAGCTAAAACCAGTGGCGTAAATAACACTTCTGCAGCTTTATTGGACTTGAATTTTTCAATTCTTCAATTTTTAATTTTCTTGTTGCTTAAGTTTATCGATTTGCGATTTTTTGAATTTTCAAGTTCCTATTTATGAGTTTTTCTACTTAAAATGTCTCAAGTTTTCAATTTTTCATTTCCCAAATTTTCTATCTACAATTTTTCGTTTCGGTTTTTTATTTTCTTTATTTTAATATTTTTTGATTTTTCAATTTTTTAGTTTTTCCATTTTTCAAACATTTTCCAAAAAAATGGTTAAAATTTGTTCAATCAACCGAAAATTAGTGTCAAGTTATAGATAATCTTCCGCCAGTTACAAATCCAAAATCGCCTTCACAACATCTATTGCAATAAAGGTAATATATGGTTCCAAAATTTTCAAAAACTTTCCAAAAAAAGGTTAAAATTCCCGATTCAATCGACCGAAAATTGGTGTCTAATTGTAGATAATTTTCCGCCAGTTCAAATCTAAAATGGCTCTCAGGATATCTGTTCTAATAAACACTACAAGGAAATTCAAAATTTTCAAAAATTTTCCAAAAAAATGGTTAAAATTGGTTCAATTGACCAAAAATTGGTGTAAAATTTTAGAGAATCCTTTCATCAGCTACAAATCGGAAATCGCCGTCAGGATATCTGTTTCAATAATACAAATTTTCAAAAATTTTCCCAAAAAATGGTTAAAATCGGTTCAATTCACTGAAAAACTGGTTTCAAATTGTAGATACTCTTTCGCCAATTACAAATTCGAAATCGTCCTCACGACATCTATTGAAATAAAAGTAAAATGTGATTTCAAAATTTTCAAAATTTTTCAAAAAAATGGTTAAAATTGGCTCAAACCACTAAAAATTGGTGCCAAATTGCACATATTAGTCCGCCAGTAACAAATCTGAAACCGTCGCCACGATATCTGTTCCAATAAGCGAGAAAAGTGAATTTAAAATTTCCAAAAAGTTAAAAAAAATGGGTAAAATTTGTTCAATCGACCGAAAATTGGTGTCAAACTGTAGATAATTTTCCTGCAATTACAAATACGAAATCGTCGTCAGGATATCTGCTGCAATAAACACGAAAAGGAAATTCAAAATTTTTAAAAATTTTTCAAAAAACTGATTAAAATTGGTTCAATCGACCGAGAATTGGTGTCAAATTCTAGATAATCTTTCATCACCTACAAATCTGAAATCGCCGTTAGGATATCTGTTTCAATAAACACGAAAAATGAATTCACAAATTTTCACAAATTTTGCAAAAAAAAATGGTTAAAATCGGTTCAATCCACTGAAAAATTGGTGTCAAATTGTAGATCCGTTTCTGCCAATTACAAATCCGAGATCATCTTCACGACATCTATTGAAATAAAAGTAAAATATGATTTCAAACTTTTCAAAATTTTTCAAAAAAAAAGGTTAAAATTGGTTCAAACCACTGAAAATTGGTGCCAAATTGTTGATATTATTTCGCCAGTAATAAATCTGAAACCGCCATCACGATATTTGTTCCAATAAGCACGAAAAGTAAATTCAAATTTTCAAAAATTAAAAAAAAAGATTAAAATTTGTTCCATCGACTGAAAATTAGGGTCAAATTGTAGATAAACTTTCGCCAATTACAAATCTGAAATCGCCGTCACTATAGTTCTTCCAATAAATACGAAAAGTGAATTCAAAATTTTCTAAAAAAAATGGTTAAAATTGGTTCAATCAAACGAAAAGTGGTGTCAAATTTTAGACAATCTTCTGCCAGTTACAAATCTGAAATCGCCGTGAGGGTATCTGTTCCAATACATACGAAAAGTGAATTCAAAATTTCGAAAAAATGTTAAAAAAAAAATGGTTAAAGTGGGTTTAATCGACTGAAAATTGGTCTCAAACTATATCGAATCTTCCGCCCGTTGCGAATCTGAATCGCCATCACGACATCTGATCCAATAAATACGAAAAGTGAATTCAAAATTTCCCAAAAAATTAGTTAAAATTGGTTCAATCGACCGAAAACTGGTGTCAAATTGTAGATAATCTGCCGCCGGTTACAAATCCGAAATTGCCTTCCCAACATCTATGGAAATAAAGGTAATGTGGTTCCAAAATTTTTAAAAATTTTCCAAAAAAATGGCTAAAATGAGTTCAATCTATCGATAATTGGTATCAAATTGTAGATAATCATCCGCCAGTTACAAATCGCCGTCAGGATATCTGTTTCAAGCAACACGAAAAGTGAAATTAAAATTTCCAAAAATTTTCCAAAAAAATAGTTAAAATTGGTTCAATTGATCGAAAACTGGTGTTAAATTGTAAATAATCTTCCGCCATTTACAAAGCTGAAATCACCGTTGCGATAAATGTTCACAAAAAGTGAGTTCAAAATTTTCAAAAATTTTACAAACAATTTGCTTAAAATGTCTTCAATCAACCGAAACTTGGTGTCAAATTGTAGATAATCTTCCACCGGTAAAAAATCCGAAATCGCCTTCCCAACATCTATGGAAATAAAGGTAATCTATGGTTCCAAAATTTTCAAAAATTTTCCAAAAAAATGTCTAAAATGGGTTCAATCGATCGATAATTGGTATCAAATTGTAGATAATCATCCGCCAGTTACAAACCACCGTCAGGATATCTGTTCCAATAAACATTAAAATTGAAATCAAAATTTCCAAAAATTTTCCAAAAAAATTTGACCGTTTAGCGAAGAAACTGAAAGCGGATTCGTATACTGCAAGTATAGGAGTATATTTCTGTATAACATTCAAAAATCATTTTAAAATACAAACGGTTTGCCACGAATTTTATTAAAAGAATTTCATCACGGACCATTCGACGTTAAAAAAATAGGTAGGTCATTTTGTCAAAAACAACGTGTAAGTAAATTTTATTTAGGAGAAGCAAATCCTGTGTTGTAATTAAAAATAAAAATCTAGAGGTGGCAGTTTTGAGCCGCGCTCGCCATTATACGTTTTCGGCGCCATTATTCAACATTAAATTTAATTTAGTTTTACTGCATGTTCAACAGTAATTTTGTTACATCATTTGTACATAAAATTACATACACACATGAAGAATAGGTAACGTAACTTTCTTTTCTTCATAATTTACGTGGAATACATTATAGCTACGTTAGTACGCGAAATAAAAAAATGCATGACCTGTTCGGCTTGAAATACGTTTCCCTCATCGTGTGCTAGATTATTCATCTGCACGTTACGACACAAGCAGGTGGCATTAGGGTGAAAACCTGTAGAGAATTTTACGTTGTGGATTTTTCTATTATTGTGTTTTATATGCGTCTACGTGACATTGTTATAATACTTTTTTTACATACTGTATGCAAACAACGCATGAAGGAAACTGCAAAAAATAGCAGCAATTATTTTTCACATGATTTACTATGAAAAAAATAAAAAATCTCTCTAATTATCTCTAGTGGGGACTTTTTTGAATAACTAGTAAATCAACAAAAAAACAGCAGTAGAAGAAAATGTAATTGAATGTCTCTATGTAAATACACACATCGCTTCATTTCTCAAAAATGTGCAAATATTGCAGACATTTTTCATAGCTTTAATAAATATATTTTGTTTGTTTAATATTGAAATTGGTTCATTTTTGCTGAACTTAGTTTTCTTACAGTCAAAATACAGCTTTTCAGAAAAAAAGTAACTTTTCGTTTTCGCGTTCAAACTCTAATAAAATGTGCCTTATTCAACACAACAATTTGAAATATCGTTTTATTTGTGACGTTTTGGCAAGCACTTCATATCTAAAATTTGCTTGTTGGTTCGACCCTCAAAGATTTCTGTTCATAACGTTCGATTTCCACATGCCCTGGCAATTTCTGCTTCCGAAGAAGAAATTCGGCCCAAATCAATAGCACCATACAACCGGATATTCGTGCAATTTATTTACGTCATTCAGTGGATGTTTCCGTGTGTCGGTAACAGGTGGCGCGTAATCTCCGGATTAAATTGTAAAATAAACCGACTCACTCGAATCTGTAAGTTCCGTCTCCACTGTTGTCATTGTTGAAACGAAGGATAGCAACAGGTGCGCCCCCTGCGAGTCCTGAATAAGTCCTGGCAGATGGTGCGTTATAAACTTGGGATGGAACTGGTCCAGACGCGGGAGGGACGTAGGACGACGCCGTTCCAGCGCCGAAAGCTGGAGGAGCTAAAAGGCCGCCGCCGCCAGCCGTTCTCGCCGCCACCGGCGGCAGATATATGTTCTCCAAGCGGTTAGCCGCCACCCCGCAGACCACGAAGATCAAAGCTACCTGAAATTATTCATGGATTTTCAAGTGGGGCTTCCACGTGCTGCGAAAATTTTCATATTCAAAAGAAAAATACGAACTTTTCTGCTATGTAACAAAAACTATTTTTTTTTCTTGTATTACAACTATTGTGCTAAATGTGTACTAAACGCTGAAGACTTACCAATTTCATTGTGGTGGTTTTAGCACTGCTGAAGATACAATGAACAAGAGAATAAGTCGCTCGCTTTTATAGATAATAATCGGTTTGGAGATTTCGGGAGCTTCATTTCAAGGTAATCATAACAGTGTACTCATCTCGAAGGTGTGGAGAATAAGGAAAGGTTCCATGCATCATAAGTGACCTAGAAATGCTATTGTGGACGATTGCGAATTCTCCCATAATTCGGATCAATTATTACAAATGTCATTCGGGTTTTAATTTAAAAGCGGTTTCCTTTTATAGAGAAACGGCTATTAATTAGCCGAGAAAAATTAAGGAGCTTTGATTGCTTTGGGAGGTAGACGCTTTTAATAAAGACTTCAAAGAGGGAAAAAACTTTGATAGCATCCAAACTTAAGTATGTCAAATTTGAAAAGGTCAATATTCAAATCGAATTAAAGAGATTGAGAAGCCGACGCATCTGAAATGGTTTGATTGAAAAGGAGAGGATGGCGTAGGTACAGCCAAAATTTTTTCGTTATGTAGAGGTACTTGACTACATGGTAACAGTGATATGGAATTAATCGATAAATAAGTGTAGCTACCTTGGCATTCATTATAAACTAACACTTTATAAATTAGCAGTCTATAGTTAAAAGGTGCTTTAATTAGTTGCCGTAATTGGTAATTGATATTTTCTAGGAACTGTTTAATTAAATAGACGGAGCCGAAGGTAGTGGTCGTTAAAATAAACGCTCAAATTTCCAGATGACCGAGCTCGTTTATAAACTTAGCTACAATAGCGCTTTGATTTTCCGTTTGTTAAATAAAGAAGCTCGTAAAAGCGCTTTGGAGCAGAGTAACGTTGATTTTTTGATTATCATATTTTGTGTTTAATAAATTCTTCAGTCAGACTGCAAAAAAGGAAAAATAGAAGGTCTGATTAATCAAATTGTTTTAAAATTACTTTGTAACGAAAACAGTCATACGTTGATGAATATGCAAAATAAAGTCTGTTTAGCAATATTTGAAAGATGGTCACTTTCAGTTCTGAATAAAATCATCATTTGTTTCAAATTGCTTAAAAATTTTGTTATCATAAGTATAATGAATGAATTTGTGTTCTGTATGAGAAAATAACGATCTTTACAAAGACGAAACGCCTTAAAATAATCGAAAATGTGGTTACGACTATGTTAAACACAGTTAAAAAGAAAGATTAAATTATATCTTAACACAAGAAGAATTTATCATGTTGCAACGATAAAAACAAAAATATATTTTTTTATTATTATTACTTAAAACTAATAAATTAATATTCTCATCTAGGCTTATGTAAAGCACCACTTAAGTAAGCACTTTAAAGCAATAGTGAAGTCAATTCTTAGATTTTTAAATATAGTTATATTGTGTACATTTTTTTATTGTATTTTTTTATTATAATGCAGTCATTTTGTACAATTTTTCATGTTATTTTCCTATTTTATAGGTTTTAGAATACGAAAATACATATTTTCGTTGAAGCGAAAATCCTTCGTTAAATAAAGTACTCGTAAAAATAAAACATAACAAGCTACTGTTATCTAATTTTAACTTTCCACTTTTTGCTTTTTCTAGAAATGTTTTCATCAATTTTTACAATTTGTACTTACAGAAATTTTATGGCGTCACCTAAAAAAAGATATTTTATCAATTTTCATTAAAAATGAGGCTTGATATAAATAATACTGCTTGTTTACTAATCAAAAAAATTAATAGATAGTTTCTGCGATTTTTCACTTTTTTATAGGAGACACAGCAACATATCAAACGAACGATAAAATACAGGGTGTTGTATTCATATTATTGTTAAGATTTAATAATCGATATTCGAAATTATAATACTTAATAGTATAGATTTTTTTATAACATCCTGTGTAGTGAGATAACCTTCGTCAGATTTTTTTCTGAACCTGAGCTTTTTCCGAGAAAAAAAAAACACAAATTTTTCGAAGATCTGAATCCGTCCAAATCTCTATTCTAGAACGTTTGGAGTTATTTTAGTCATATTTTAAAAATCTCAATTTTTCAATACCAACAAATTTTCTTACCGGTTTTTGAGCTCTCGAAATACTTATTGAAAAAAAAAATTATTTTCAAACCAAATTTTTCGAAAATCTTGGTCGTAGACCATTGAACTTTACGTTTTTCGAATCAGCTTGGTGAGATCTTTATCCCAGAATTTTGTGAAGATTTTTGGCAAATTTTGAAAAATCTCAATTTTTCAATAGGTACCCCCGTCTGAATTTTTTGGCAATTCCTCGCAATTTAGTTATGTAAAAAATTTCATAATCAAACCGAATTTTTCGAAAATCTTAATCGAAAACTATTTAACATTTTTTAAGTTTTTCGAATCAGAATTTTTTGAAGATTTTTGCGCAACTTTTCAAAAATCTCAACTTTTCTCAATAAACGATTTTATCGTTTTTAGAGCTTTCGAAATATTAAGCAAAAAACATTTTCAAATTGAATTTTTTGAAAATCTTTACTTAAAATCGACACTTTTGGTTTTTCGAATTAGCTCGACAAAACCTATATTTCAAAAATTTTTTAGGATAATGAGTATTTTTTAAAATCGCAATTTTTCTATATCCCCGTATGCATTTTTTGATCGTTCCTCGCAATTTAACGTTATTTAAAAAAATTCGTTATGAAACCAAATTTTTCGAAAATCTTGGTTGAGGCCTATTTACCATTTTATGTTTTTCGAATCAGCTCATTGAAGTCTATGTACCAGAATTTTTTGAGGAGTTTTGGGCCACTTTTCAAAAATCTCAATTTTTCAAAATCTACACGATTATACTATATTACGATATTATATTTTCGAATTTTCGAAATATTAAGCAAAAAAACATTTTCAAACCGAATTTTTCGAAAATGTTTACTTAAAATCGGCACTTTATGTTTTTCAAATCGGTTGGATGAGATCTACCTATATCTATATATATTTTGTGAAAATTTTTGGCGAATATTTAAAAGTTTCTATTTTTCAATATTCTCATAAGCATTTTTTGACTGTTCCTCGCAATTTAAAGTTACATATTAAAAAAAAAAATTTAATTAAATTTTTCGAAAATCTTGATCGAGGACCATTTAACATTTTATGTTTTTCAAATCAGCTCATTAAAGTCTACATACCAGAATTTTTTCAGTATTTTTGGGACACTTTTCAAAAATCTCAATTTTTCAGGAAATGCACGTTTTTTGAAGTTTCGAAATATTAAGCAAAAAAACATTTCTAAACCGAATTGTTTGAAAATCTGTATTTAAAATCGGCACTTTATGTTTTTCAAATCAGCTCGACGAGATCTATATGCCAGAATTTGGTGAAAATTTTTGGCGAATTTTTAAAAATCTCTATTTTTCCTATATGAACTTTTTTACCATTCCTCGAAATATGAATTCATTTAAAAAATTTCATTATCAAACCCAATTTTTCGAAAATCTTAGTCGAAAACTATTTATTTAATACTTTATGTTTTTCGAATCCACTTATCTCTGTATAAGCTGATATATTAAATCTATATCCCAGAATTTTTTCAAGATTTTTGAGCAATTCTTCGCAAAATTTCAACTCTTCAGTACACTATTTTACCGTTTTTCGACCTTTCGTAATATTAAGCAAAAAAACATTTTCAAACTGAATTTTTCGAAAATCTTCACTTAAAATCGACACATTATGTTTTTCGAATCAACTGGACGAGATCTGTATTTCAAAAATTTTTTAGGGGAAGAGGTATTTTTTAAAATCCCAATTTTTCAATATCCCTGTATGCATTTTTTTACCGTTCCTCGCAGTTTAAAATTGTAGAGAAAATCATCATCAAACCAAATTTTTCGAAAATCTTGGTCGAGGACCATTTAACAATTTATGTTTTTCGAATCAGCTCACTGAGATCTATTTACCAGAATTTTTTAAGGATTTTTAGACCACTTTTCAAAAATCTCAATTTTTCAATACACTATTCTACCGTTTTTCGACCTTTCGTAATATTAAGCAAAAAAACATTTTCAAACTGAATTTTTCGAAAATCTTCACTTAAAATCGACATATTATGTTTTTCGAATCAACTGGACGAGATCTGTATTTCAAAAATTTTTTAGGGGAAGAGGTATTTTTTTAAAATCCCAATTTTTCAATATCCCCGTATGCATTTTTTTACCGTTCCTCGCAGTTTAAAATTGTAGAGAAAATCATCATCAAACCAAATTTTTCGAAAATCTTGGTCGAGGACCATTTAACAATTTATGTTTTTCGAATCAGCTCACTGAGATCTATTTACCAGAATTTTTTAAGGATTTTTAGACCACTTTTCAAAAATCTCAATTTTTCAATACACGATTTTACCGTTTTTCGAACTTCCGAAATATTAAGCAAAAAAACATTTTCAAAGCGAATTTTTCGAAAATCTTTAGTTAAAATCAGCAGTTTATGTTTTTCAAATTAGCTCAACTAGATCTTTATTCCAGAATTTTGTGAATATTTTTGGCAAATTTTTAAAAATCTCAATTCTTCAATACTTTCGCATGCATTTTTTGGCCGCTCCTGGCAATTAAAAGTTATTTAAAAATTTTCATCATCAAACCGAATTTTTCTAAAATCTCAGTAGAGAACTATTTAATACTTTACGTTTTTCGAATCAGCTCATTGAAGTCTATGTACCAGAATTTTTTGAGGAGTTTTGGGCCACTTTTCAAAAATCTCAATTTTTCAAAACCTACACGATTATACTATATTACGATATTATATTTTCGAATTTTCGAAATATTAAGCAAAAAAACATTTTCAAACCGAATTTTTCGAAAATGTTTACTTAAAATCTATATCCTAGACTTTTTTCAAGATTTTTGAGCAAATCTTCAAAAAATCTCAACTCATCAGTACCTACACTATTTTTCCGTTTTTCGACCTTTCGTAATATTAAGCAAAAAAACATTTTCAAAATGAATTTTCCGAAAATCTTCACTTAAAATTGACACCTTATGTTTTTCGAATCAACTCGAC